GCAAAAACTGATAGAACTGAGAGAAGTAGGGATCCCTGGGTGGCTCAGCTGTTTAGAACCTGCCTTTAGCCCAGGGCGTGATCCTGGAGACCCAGGATCAAGTCCCACGTCGGGCTCCCTGCGTGGAGCCTTCTTCTCCCTCTGCCTGTGTCTCTGCCCCTCTCTCTCCCTGTGTCTCTCATGAATAAATAAATTTAAAAATCTTAAAAAAAAAAAAACAAAGAACTGAAAGAAGTAGATAAATCCACGATCATAGTTGGAAACTTCAATATGCCTCTCTAAACAATGTATGTAACTATTAGATTATAAACAAAGATATTGAGGGGCACCTGGCTGGCTCAGCTGGTAGAGCATGTGACTCTTGATCTCAGGGTCATGAGTTTAAGACCCAAGTTGGGCCTGAGGCTACTTAAAAAAAAAAAGATATGGAATATCTGTACAACACTGTCAACTAACAGGATCTTTTGAAATTTATACAGGACTCCAGTAAACAACACAGCAGAATACAGATACTTTTTAAGCATCCATGGAACATTCACCAGAATGGACCATATCCTAGGTCATAAAACAACTTCAGCAACTTTAAAATAATCGAGGGGCACCTGGGTGGCTCACTCAGTTAAATGGCTGCCTTCGGCTCAGGTCATGATCTCAGGGTCCTGTGATTTAAGCCTTGAGTTGGGCTCCCTGTTCAGGAGTAGCCTGCTTCTCCCTCTGCCCCTCCCTTCTGCTTGTGTTCTCTTTCTCTCAAAAAATAAATAAAATCTTAAAAATATATATAATCGGGGGCGCCTGGGTGTCTCAGTGGTTGAGTGTCTGCCTTTGGCTCACGGTGTGGTCCCGGGATCCAGGATCGAGTCCCACATCGGGCTCCCCGCAGGGAGCCTGCTTCTCCCTCTGCCTGTGTCTCTCTCTCTCTTTTGGTGTCTCTCATGAATAAATAAATACAAATCTTAATGGATAAACCCATTCATGAATTTATTTTTTTTAAGATTTATTTATTTATTTATTCATGATAGATGTAGAGAGAGAAAGAGAGAGGCAGAGACACAGGAGGACAGGAGAAGCAGGCTCCACACCAGGACCCCGACGCGGGACTCGATTCCGGGACTCCAGGATCGCGCCCTGGGCCAAAGGCAGGCGCCAAAGCACTGAGTCACCCAGGGATGCCCCCCATTCATGAATTTAGACACTGAATTCTGCAACCAAATATTAGCATATAGGTAAAAATGAATTTAAAAAAACATTCTAAGGACGCCCGGGTGTCTCAGTGGTTGAGCATCTGCCCTCGGCTCAGGGCGTGATCCCAGGATCCAGGATCGAGTCCCATGTCCGGCTCCCTGCGAGGAGCCTTCTTCTCCCTCTGCCTGTGTCTCTGCCTCTTTCTGTGTGTCTCTCGTGAATAAGTAAATAAATCTTTAAAAAAAAAATCTAAACCCTACATCTTATACAAAAATAACTTAAAATGGATCATAGATTTAAATGGAAAAGATAAAACTATAAAACTCAGAGAAAATATAGGAGAAAATCATCAGGTGATGATTTTGATGATCAGAAAATCATCACCTAGTTCTTGGTAACGAGTTATTAGAAATGACACTAAAAACATGATCCGTAAGGGACAAAAATGGAGAGGGGATCCCTGGGTGGCTCAGTGGTTTCGCGCCTGCTTTTGGCCCAAGGTGCAGTTCTGGGGTCCCGGGATCCAGTGTCAGGTCGGGCTCCCTGCATGGAGCCTGCTTCTCCCTCTGCCTGTGTCTCTGCCTCTCTCTTCTCTCTCTCTCTGTGTGCCTATCATAAATAAATAAATAAATAAATAAATAAATAAATAAATAAATAAATAAATAAATAAATAAATAAATACATACATAAATAAGTAAATAAATCTTTAAAAAAATTTAAAAGACAAAAATGGATAAATTGAACTTCACAAAAATTAAAAACATTTGTTCTACAAAGATCTGTCAAGATGAAAGGACAAGCTACAGAAAGAGAGGAAATATTTGTAAGCTATTTGACAAAAGATCTGTATTTAGAATATATAAAGAACTTGGACATGGACAAAGACATGGACAATTCACCATGTGGCGGAAAGACCACGTGAAAAGATGATTAGTATCACTAGCCATTAGGGAAACGCAAATAACGCAAACAAAACCTACAAAAAGGGGATCCCTGGGTGGCTCAGGGGTATAGCGCCCGCCTTTGGCCTAGGGAGTGACCCTGGAGACCCGGGATCGAGTTCCACGTCGGGCTCCCTGCAGGATCCTACTTCTCCCTCTGCCTGGGTTTCTGCCTCTCTCTAAATAAATCTTTTTTAAAAAAAAAAAAAAAAAAAAAAAAAGCACACACACACACACAAAACCGGATCCCCACTTTCATCCCTATTAAAAAAGTGAAAATAAAAAGTCGTCACAATCCGGGTGCACGTGGCTGGCTCAGTCAGGGGAGCAGGACTCGAACTCAGGGCTACGGGTCTGAGCCCCGCATCGGGTGTAGAGATCACATTTAAGAAAACACACAACAGGGCAGCCCCGGTGGCGCAGCGGTTTAGCGCCGCCTGCAGCCCAGGGCGTGATCCTGGAGACCCTGGATCGAGTCCCATGTCGGGCTCCCTGCATGGAGCCTGCTTCTCCCTCTGCCTGTGTCTCTGCCTCTCATTCTCTCTCTGTGTTTCTATGAATAAATAAATAAAATCTTTTAAAAAAGGAAACACACAACAGGGGATCCCTGGGTGGCTCAGCGGTTTCGCGCCTGCCTTCGCCCCACGGCGCGATCCTGGAGTCCCAAGTCGGGCTCCCTGCATGGAGCCTGCTTCTCCCTCTGCCTGTGTCCCTGTCTCTCTCTCTCTCTCTCTCTCTCTCTCTCTCTCTCTTTCTCTATCATAAATAAATAAAAATAAATCTTAAAAAACACACACACACACAACAACTAGGGACGATAGCAAAGCTTGCCAAGAATACAGAGAAGCTGGACCGCTTGTTCGTGCTGATGGGAATGTACAGTAACACGGCAGCTCTGGGAAATAGTGTGACAATTCCTCATAAAATCAAGCGTATCTTCGCAGGCCCGTCCCCCGTGGCCGCGCCTTCCCGGGCCCTTACCCCAGGGAAGCGACAGCGTCTGTCCTGCTGGCGCCCACGGGTTCACAGCAGCTTTATGGTAACGGCCCCAAGGGAGAGACCTCCCAGGTGTCCTTCGACGAGGCAGTGGGTGAACCACGGGGGACACCCACGGCGGGGGAAGGAGCACAGCATGGTCACCGTGACGGCCTGGGGGGCTCAGGGCGCCGGCTTCTCCCTCTGCAGAGGCCACGCACTGCGTGATGCCACTTGCAGGACCTCCTGAAAGCGCCAGACCACGTGCCGACGAGGCCATCGGCGGTTTCCGCGCGTGGGGCCGGTGGCAGGCGCGGGGCGGGGACCGTGGCGGCCGAGGCAGGGCTTCGTACGCGTGGCAAGACGGTGCAGAAACGCACGCGCACAGGCGTGAACGTGGAAAGTGACGAAATCCCGGGAAGGCCTGCAGTTTTTTGTTTTTGATTTTTTCCCATTTTTCTTTCTCTCTTTGTCAGAGAGAGAGCGAGAGCGGGGCGGCGGGGGCGCGGGCGGCCGAGCGGGGCCACGACCCGGGCCACGACCTGGTCACGACCTGGGCCGGAGCAGCTGCCCAGGTGCCCTCTGGGCTTCGTGTCTGAGCGGGAGGGAGCCCGTGCCAGGGCGGCAGGCGGCGAAGGGCGCGGGCCAGGCGGAAGGCCAAGCGGGGCGCTGGTGTCAGGACCTGGGGGCGGGGCTCAGGGCGGGGGCCACGACCGGGAGGGGCTGGCCGGGGGCGGGGCTCAGGGCGGGGGGTCTGGACCGGGACAGGGCTCAAGACGCAGGGGCGGGGCCAGGACCCGGGGGTGGGGCTCAGGACCCGGGGGCGGGGCTCAGGGCGGGGCTCAGGACCCGGAGGTGCGGGAGTTAGGGCTGGGGGCGGGGCTCAGGACCCAGGGGCGGGTGGTCAGGGCCGGGGGCGGGGCTAAGGGCGGAGGTCAGTACCCCGGGGGCGGGGCTCAGGGCCTGGGGGTGGAGCTCAGGGCGGGGGGGGGGGGGGTCTGGACCGGGGGCGGGGCTCAGGACCCAGGGGCGGGCTCAGGGCGGGGCTCAGGACCCGGGGGCGGGGCTCAGGACCTGGGGGTGGAGCTCAGGGTGTTGGGGTCTGGACCGGGGGCGGGGCTCAGGGCCCGGGGGCGGGGCTCAGGGCGGGGAGTCAGGTCCGGGGGCGGGGTTCAGGACCCCGGGGGCAGGGCTCAGGACCGGGGGCGGGGCTCAGGGGTGGGGCTCGGTACCGGAGGCGGGGGCCGCAGTCTCCAACCACGGCTGCCTCCTTAATCTCAACTAATGGGCCGCGGAAGCACGCGGAACGCAAGGACAAGCTGCTGTCCTTACGGTTTCCTTTTTTTTTTAATGATGGGCTTTGCATTTTTATTTATTCATTTTTTACCTAAATTCTAGTTAGTTCAGTGAAACATTGGTTTCAGGAGTAGAACTCGGTGATTCATCACTTACATACTTTCTGTGCTGTCTTTGCAGCTTCGTGAAAATCTCATGTTACTCCAACATTACAAGCTTACTTTTTAAAAAAGTTTTATTTATTTAGGTAATCTCTACATCCAACATGGGGATCGAACTCACAATCCTGAGATCAAGAGTCGCATGCTCTTCTGACTGAGCCAGCCAGGCTCCCCTGGAGGCTGATTTTTTAAAAAGGAAAGAAAAAAACATTTTAAAAAAATATTTTATTTATTTGAGAGAGGGGGAGTGGAGAGAGAGAACCTGAGCTGAGGAGGGGCAGAGTCCTTGCTGGGCAGACAGCCCGATGCAGGGCTCCATCCTGCGACTCGGAGATCATGACCTGAGCCAAAGGCAGACGCGTAATTGACTGAGCCACCCAGGCACTCGGGGGGGAAAAAAAACTTTTTTAAGAAAAATATAATTTTTTTTTCATTATTGCAAAAACGAATTTTAATCTTTAATCTTTAGTTTGATTTAACATTGCTTTTAGTACGATGCTGACACCAGTTGTGCAGAAAGGGCTCTGGAGAGATGTTCATAGCAGCACACACCTGCGGCTCTTCTTCGGTTCTGGAGGCTCCAGGGCAGCCAATATTGCTTCGTCAAATACATTCTTTAGGCCTTTCTGTGTGAGTGCAGAACACTCCACATACTTGACCGCCTTCAGGTCACGGGCCAGCTTTTCAGCAGTCTCTGGAGTGATAGGCTTTTGTTTGTTCTTGGCAAGTTTCTCGATAGTAGAAGGGTCATCTCGGAGATCAATTTGGGTCCCAACAAGCAAGAAAGGAGTCTTTGGACAGTGGTGAGTTATCTCAGGCACCCACTTTTCCTTCACATTTTCAAATGAGGATGGAGAGACCACTGAAAAACAGACTAGAAATACATCTGTTTGTGGATAACTCAGCGGTCGTAATCTGTCATAATCCTCTTGCCCTGCAGTATCAAAAAGTCCAAGGGTATATGGCTCTCCACCAATCATAACCGTGACTGCATAGTTGTCAAAAACAGTCGGTACATACTCAGATGGAAATTTGTTTGTTGTGTAGGATATCAGGAGACATGTTTTACCAACGGCACCATCGCCCACAACAACGCACTTAATTGTCTGCATTGCTGAAACAGTTTTGTATCCACTTTAAATATATCAAATTCGATGATGACCTCAGCTCCTCCGCCGGGGCGTTGGCAGCACTCAAAATATAATTTTTTTAAGATTTTATTTATTCATGTCATGCAAGACACAGAGAGGGGGAGAGCGGTAGAGACACAGGCAGAGGGAGAAGCAGGCTCCATGTAGGGAGCCCAATGCAGGGACTCAATCCTGGATCTCCAGGATCACACCCTGAGCCAAAGGCGGATGTTCAACCTCTGAGCCAGCCAGACGTCCCATTAAGAACTAATTCTCTAAAAAATTTTTTTAAAGATCTATTGCTTTTAGGGGGTAGAGAAAGCACAAGTCGGGGAGAGGTAGAGGGAGAGAATCTCAAGCAGATACCGCACTGAGCATGTTGCCCGTCGTGGGGCGTGATCCCATGACCCTGAAATCATGACTTGAGCCAAAATCCAGAGTTGGACTCAACCAATTGAGCCACCCAGGCGCCCCTTAAGAAATGTTTATATGATACCAGTAAGATACCTACCAAAATGGCTAAAATTGGAAAATAGCACGTACACAAGGGCATGAGATCATATTCTTTATTCCAGTGATTTCATTCTTAGATTTATACCAAGGAGTGGACACATTTGCTCAAAAAAAAAAAAAAAAAAAGACATGCTCTAGAATGTTCATAGCAGCTTTATTCATAATAGCCAAAACTGAAAACAATCTAAATGCCTATTCACAGAATGAATAAATTGCAGTATATCTGTATAATGTAATACTCTACAACCATATGAATGACCAAACTACAACATGCAACAGTATCGATGAGCTGGAAAAGACATAATGTTGAATCAAAGAAGCTAGACATAAAAAACTACATATTATTTCACTTATTTGAAGTTCAAAACCAGGCAAAAAGAATTTATGGTGCCAGGATAATAGATGTCCTTGGGATGGTGGTGTAAGTGGCTGGAAAAGGGCATGCATGCGTGGGACTGCTGCAGTGCTGGTGATTTTCCAATTCTTAATTTCTTGCTAATTTTTGTGAGCATGTTCAGTGTGCAAAAAGTAACAGCTGTACACTTGACTCATGCACTTTTCTGTATGCAAATCATACAATAAAAATTTAAGGAAGAGCAAACAAAAATGAGACACACTCAAACACTCAATAAAAAAAAACTCAAATTATAAGAACTGACAATAACAAGTGCAGACAAGGATGTGGAGCAACTAAAAAGTTCATTTACAGCTACTGAAAATACAAATCAGTACAATCACTTTGGAGAGGTGTTTGGCAATATCAAAGCCAAATATACACATATCCTATGCCCCAACGACTCCACACAATTATATACACACCCAACAGAAATGTGCACATTTGTTGTCAGAAGACACGTACAAGACTGTTCATGGCAATATTATCTTTAATCAGAAACAATCCAATGTCCTTCAGTGCTGCCAGAGCTGATTAAGATCAGTTAAAGCCCGAAGTTGCAGGGAAGTGGACCTCTCTGTGGCATCCCTCCACCAGGGGGGAGTAGGAGCCAGTGGGTAAATATTCCAGCTTCCTGTTCCCCCATCCTTCACAATCTCCATAGCACACCTTTCTTTCGGCTTTTTCTTAACTGCCTCACTCTTCCACTTCCTCAGGAGTCCTGAATCCTGGAATCATTGCCCCAGTAAGGTACGTCCAAGTGTTCCTCCCAAGGGGAGCCCGAACACCAATAGCACTTACTATTCCATCTACATACAGTTCACAAGCAGAGGACACCTATCTGTGATAGAAGTCAGAGTAGTGGTTACTCGGAGCCCATGTGGGGCTCGATCCCAGGACCCGAAGATCATGACCCAAGCTGAAGGCAGATGCTTAACCGACTGAGCCCCCAGGTGCCCCCAAAGAGGTGAATTTCAATGAGCACATCCATCTTTTTTGGTTAATGCACCATCTCTGTCATCCCTGGCAGTCAGAAACGGATTATTAGGGACTTGTTGGAGGCACTGGGAATGGATCGTGAAACATTACAGTGAAAGCAGGGGCACCGAAATTCCTGTGCAGGTGCGCATCCCCTTGGGACAGGCCTGAGGCATATCAGCGTGGCGCCAGGTGTGCTGTGCAGCGGTTCCGACTGCCTCCCCGGGGCCAACCCCGCCCTACTCCTTCCTTTCCCTTTCCCGCCTGTTCCTTCGACACTATGGGGCTGCTGCTCTCAGTTCACTCTGGTAAGGGACCCGGCGTCCTCAAGCGACCCTGCGAGCTGCTGAGTGTGGCTGCAAGCAGGGCTGCCAAGGAGCCCGCCGACCCCGGGAAAGGGGGAGCCTCGAGGAAGCAACACGTGGGCTGAACTCTTATGGGTGGACCGAGGGTCCACGAGGGCACCGAGGGGGCCAGGGTGGAGGGGCAGCCGAGGGGAGGGAGAGGCACCAGAGAAAAGTCGGGAAAGGACAGGGACGGGCCTCGTGGTAGCCGCTGGACGGAGGGCAAGGACACGCGGGAGGCCCACGTGCTGCGGGGAGAGGTTTTCTTGGCCTTAAGGCGGGTGCAGCCACAAGGGCTTCCAGGGGGAAGGGCCAGGGTCTGTGTTCGGGAGGTGGCGAAGGTCCGCCCTGAAGAGGGGGCTGCGCGGGGTAGGCCGGCGCCCAGGAAAGCCGGCCGAGGGGGAAGTGAGAAAGATGGGGCGCCCAGGAGGCCACGGCTCCCCCGGGCCGCTCTGGGTCCTGTGGAGCCACAGAACCGCGCGGACGCGGCGCTAGGTGCGGGGGCAAGGGCCGCCTAGGCCTGGCTGCTTCACGGCGCTGCTAGGAAACCTGCGCCGGGGCGGGCGCGGCTGAAGCGTGCCCGGGACCCCCCGGGGAGAGGGTGCGGGACAGGCTGGTGGGCAGCAGCACGGCCGCGGGGCCACGGACCCCCAGGGCACCACCAGGTGGGCATCCCGCGACGGCGGCCAAGCTCCAGCTCCTCGGACGCCCCCAGCCGGAGACCCCGCCCGCCAGTGTCCGACACGGAGGGAAGAGCGGCCCGCGGCGGGAGGAGCCCCGAGGGCGGGTTGCGGGCGGGGGAAGCCACCTGGGCGTGCCCGGGTGGGACGGGGCAAGTCGGGGTGCCAGTGCACTCCGGGCGGGGGGGATGCCCGAAGGGCCGCTCGTTTTCGTGCGCTGGACAGGACACCTAGCGGGAAGCCGGGGTGGCGGGTCCGGTGACGGAGCTCCGTGCACCCGGGAGCGCCCGGCGGCTGCTGCGGGGCAGCTTCGGTGGAGCCCACACACCGCCTGGGAAAGGACAGGTTTCCCTGGAGGACAAACCGGAGCACCAGGGGCTCCCATCAGGGGCTCCCCGGGGGGCTGGACGGGCACCTGGCAGCCCAAGAGGCCTTCCAGATCCCATTCACACCTCCCCCAAGTATCCTTTAGGGCAGGGTCATAACAGGCAAAAAACAGATCAGCCCTCGACTTCATGGCCCATAGATTTCTAAGTCTGGATGGGAACTAGTAAAGCTGTTAACCAAGGAGGAAACAGGAGTTCTCGTCACTGAACTTAACACAACTATAATTCTCAGCCTCAAACTGTTTTGGTCACTTCTGTCCCACATTCACACCAGAAACTCATTATTACAGTTTGTGCAAGCCTGCCAGGGTGACCTGTGTCACTGAACCCCTTTCCCATTAGGTGCTTCTAACGGACCATTATCCTGACAAATGATCTTTGCGAGAAATCTGGAAAGTTGATGTCCGAGATAGCAGCAGTTTGTAATACTGGCCCTGGATTCCTCGAAAATGGGGAGAGGTTACATTCTGTATCCTTGCTTCACTTCCCAAGCCCAACTATGCTGCAGGATACAGCAGAATTTCTGGTCTTAGCCAGACGTTTTACAAGATGAGGTTTACAGACATTAGGTTAATGAACCACTGTAATATGCAGTGTACAGAATCAGAGAGAAGATGCTGGGATCCCAGTGCTTTGTGTGCTTTGGAAACAGTTGTGTCATTTTCTGGGATTTAGGATGTAAGCTCAAAGATACCATTTCCTCTCCTGAAGTCCAAAATCCAGGATGAATCCAGGCTGCAATGTTGGCTCTACCATTAAGAACTATGGGGCTTTCAACAAGGTACTCCGTCTGACTCTTTGAGACTTAGAATTCCTTCCATACGTATGTAATAGGACTGTGTGAAAAGTAACTATAAGAGTACCTCAGTTACATGCTTGCCCAGCATCACTCTTGGATGCATATGTAAAGTCCTAGATAGGTAAAGACTCAGGTATGCCTATAGTTGTAGATGTCATCCTACTACTCAACTCTTCAATGTTAGGGTCTATATTCTAAGGACCGTCCATGTCCTAAGAGTCTTCGATACTGGAATCTAGGGCCCAGAATACATATTTTCAATGAACTCAGGACATGCCACACCTAGGGAAGTCACATTTGTTCATCTAAGTTATAGCTAATAGATCAGTATCTGTACTTTAGTAACTGCTCGGTATTTTGTAGCACTACACTAACCAGTAAGACAGCCACACTATCTGGTTCGGCAACCACAGGGCTAGCACAATTATTAGTCAACACTTTCATCACAAAGTCCTACTGGACACTGCAACAGTTTAGTAAGAGTGGTGGGTGGATGGAGTGGGGCTTACTTTTAACAGGTCTTTAATCTCAGAGAACAAACTGTTTCTCCCGCAACAGTAGCTTTTCTCCCCTTTTCTCTCTACCCGGGCACCTTCCCTTCAGCAGATCTGTTCTTTGGCCAGATTTCAACGCAGGTACATTCTCGCCCTTTCACAAGATGCTTTCATTTTAAATAATGTGTCACTACCATGTTTTTTCTTACTGTAAGGACTGGTCTTAACCCACTTAACATATGACACGAGCATTCTTTGACTAACTTGCTTACTAGCCAGTCCTAGCCACAGACATGGCCTCTGAAAGCCTTAATACCCCCTTTCCAAGGGTACTTTTTGCCTCTTGGTGCAGGGGCTCCCTGTATTGCTAACAAACTAAAAAACTATCGTGGCTTGAAAATTATGGATGTTAAAAGTCCCAACAATAGATATTTAATTGGTATAAAATGCACACACCTGGGGGTCAGGATT